GATTGTAGTATCTATTGCAACATATCAAGATTATGTCATTTCAATGGTCAGTTGATTTAAATAAAAATAATGACAAGTGGTTATCATTTCTTCACCCATATTTAAGACAGTTAATTGATAAGTATGTCATATGTAGCCAAAATAAAAATATAGATCTAAATGATGTTTCATTTATAAGTAATATATTGATAAGTCTTTAAAAAACAACTTCAATAGTCATCTGTGACTGATGTACTAAAGAAATCATGTGTCCCTCTAATATATTGCATTAAAAATCTATCTCGAATATTGACAAATATACCATTGATAATAAATGATTAAATTACACTGTGCATAGTATATACTAAAGTTACCAATTTGTGAAAATATTATATATGTCTATAGAACTCTACAGAACAAAATTAAATAACTGTTGCTAAAGTATTTGATCTTAATCCACTAGTCTGTTAGAACTAAACAGACCTTGAAATTTTGAAGGGAATAACGTCACATATTACATAGGCATTTCATAAATGAATAATCGAATCATCGTAGATGTGTGACTTTCATTTTGATAGTATCTACTAAAGTGAAACAGGATTCAATATTTGGTTGGCACGATATATTCTTATAAATGAGATGAACCTTTAAATATACACTATGATATTCTGATTTTAACAGTTTTATGTTTATACAGTGTTGCTAACATATACAAAGTTCATTGCATGAACCATACTTTGGTTAAATTATTTATACTATCTAGATTGTTTAACACTGCTAATTCCAAAGCTGTAAGGAACAAGATATTTTGAGATAATTAGTTTTGTATAGTTGATGAAAATTTTAATGAAAAGTAAAGAAATACCTTTTTAAAAATTAATTACATTCTTTATTCTTATGATGTCCGTTATTGATTCCAAAGACCTAAACTGATCAACGAAATTATGGTATAACATTCTGCTAATTATAGATAATGAAGTCAAATATTTTTTCAACAAAACGATTCGCATAACGCAAAATAATTATACAAAATAACTTTACAAACTTATACTTGAACGTGTACACAGATAGTTGATAGTTCTGTTCATAGTTCAATATACTATATAAAATATATATCCTTTCCACATCGGAATTCTTACGATGGATTAAACTGCAAAATCGTTAATGGAGGACAGTTGACAAAGTCGTTCGAAGTAAAGACCGGTGTCAGGCAAGGTTGCTTACTACCACCCTTTCTCTTTCTTCTGGTGATCGACTGGATCATGAAGACGTCAACATCTGAAGGGAAACACGGGATACAGTGGACATTTAGGATGCAGTTGGATGATCTAGACTTCGCAGATGATCTGACTCTTCTACCGCACACACAACAACAAATTCAGGAGAAGACGAACAGTGTAGCTGCAGCCTCAGCAGCAATAGGTCTCAATATACACTAAGGAAAAAGCAAGATTCTCCGATACAACGAAGCATGCAACAATCGAATCACAATTGACGGAGAAGATTTGGAAGATGTACAAAACTTTACATATTTGGGCAGCATCATTGACGAACACAGTGTATCTGATGTGAATGCACGGATCGACAAAGCGAGAGCAGCATATTTACAACTGAAGAACATCTGGAACTCAAAATAATTGGCAACCAACACCAAAGTCAGAATTTTCAATATAAATGTCAAGACAGTTCTACTGTATGGGGCGGAAACCTGGAAAACCACGAAAGCCACGTGTCTTATTTCTGATTGGATGACTATCTATCATTCTAGAACCTCCAAGAAGCAGAAAGGCCTCTAAAATGCTACAAACATCCCAGATTTTCTGCACACAAACTAACCTAAAATTAAAGTGCTATTTCTAAATTTCTCTCTTTTTCTCTCCTGTACAATTTCTTGTATACATGTTGCCTCGGGTTATTGGAACAGCTTAGGAATCTGATTCAAGAGATCAAACAGAAGATTAATCAAGTACATTAATCTTATCAAAGTTTTTGATGATAAAAAAATAGTCATATACGTTTTTTCTCGAAGTTAAGGGGAAGTAATTCGAGATAAATCAAAAATATAACTCGATATAATTCTTTATTGGAGTTATATTCAGGGTGATTGAAATAAAGGATTATATTTTGCAATGGTGGTCTAGCTTTAATTGACTCATGAATTCAAGTATTAAATTACTAAAATCTCCACAAAACCCCCTTTTGATTTTATTTGTTATTCACAGTTACCACAGTGTTGTTATCTGTATCTTATATTGCCTGTTTAAATTGCTCAGATTCCCCGACATATATAAAGATTGGACTTTTAATTTTTTTAAATACGTACCAAAACATTTCTAAATTATTTGGTCAAGTTAAATTCCGTCTTATGTCTTATTTCTAACTAGATTGGTGATATTGCTGAATTTTTCTCAAGTTTCTTGAAATATTTCGAGAATCTAGGAACATGCTTGAAATATTGTGTTTGTTTAGGATCATTATGATTTCCCACGGTACAGAATGACTACAGTTTAACTTCAGTTTATAAAAAAACACTACAATTTTTTTATTTTATAACTACAGTTTAGGGTAGTGATTCGTTTTTATTTTAAACATAATTACATTTACTACCGCTGTTTATTGTATGTATAGCAACCGTTAAATTTGATGAAACAGCACCAACAACATTAAACAAACATTCATTATAAACTTGTTACAAACCCTATTTATCCTTCATAATTTTGGTTTGGATTACTTCTCTTGTGACTTTCAAACTTAATTGCCATTTGGAACGCTGGACTAATTAAATTTTCATAGTTCTTTTTTAACATCTAATGACTACTTTTTGGATGCTGTAAATGTTTAAAACGTAGGGGAAAACTACTTGTAAAATTGTTCGTTTCTTTAACTAAAAATTTATTGCTTTACGCTGTTAATTATTAGGACGTATAATTAGCACTGTTTCCTAACCAAATCTATTAAAAAAATCATATACTTTCATAACGTCCAATCTCGAATAGACTATTTGATGTAAATAATAATTATTCAATTTCTAGTGGACTAACCAAATGATAGCAATGATAGAGATTCTTACCCTGAAGATTCTAAAATTTTAACAAGGAATTATGCTATATAGTCACAGCTTCTAGTCATTGTAAAACAATATTGTTTATTGAGAGTTTGGTTTGTTAAAAAAGGCTGAAAGAGTCACTTAAACTCTCTTAAGTAAATAGATATTCTTGGTTAAACATAAACAAAGAAGCTAGGACAAACAACGCAAACTAATCTGGGGAACGTCATTTTACATAATTTAAAGCTTGCAAAACATTTATTTTATATATTCTCAGTATTAGGGCTGTGGAGATTATTAAGTTTTCGATTGAGATCATGAATCGACTGATATAAGACCACCGTTGGAAACCTGAAAGCACTGGAAGGCCGTTTCGTCCTAGTATGGGACTCCTCAGCAGTGCGCATCCACGATCCCGCTTGCGGGATTCGAACCCAGGGCCTTCAGTCTCGCGCGCGAACGCTTAACCTACTGGACCACTGAGCCGGCATCCAATAATGTTAGTGTCTAACATCAACCAATCCACGAAATCGCGCGACCATCTTCCATTGTACTGAGGAAGATACCTGTCTCTACCCGACACGGATTAGCTCCACTTGTCTTATTTTACGAAACATAAGCTTTCGTTTGATGTATGGATTAATACAATACGCTTTTTTGTTCCAAAGTTATTGTAATTTAAACATAACTTTTGCTACTCTATTTTTCTACCCTAATCCCTAGTTTTGGACATAATTGTATTTTCTTAATTGTTTGTGCGTTGTGGTCACGCGTCATTTAATTATTCATGTATATTTTTACGCTAATCTGAATAGGAACCAGATCGGAGTGGGAATCGGAATTGTGAATAAATCTAGTAGTATTCCAGTTGACTCATCTTCTCTCTTGGGGGCCTGTCAACCAGTCAGGTGACAGAAGAGTTTTCGTCTCTCTACCCAAGGCAGTTAGTCTCACTTCGAGCCCACACAGGTTAGACCCGTCAGCCTATCGTTCAAGGACTTAATCTAGATCGATGCAAGTTATCTTCTGTATATATCGGGTAGACACATCAAGGACGTAACAGTTCTGTGTGGAAACAAATGCTTAAAATGTTCACGATGGTTTATTTCATACTTTTTCCACTAGACTGAAACTTTTGTGGTATTTGTCTGTTGAACTTTGATGATTCGCATTTTAGGACTAAACCATGTTGTGAAACTGGATGTAAATTCGCTTTTTTATAATATAAACTGATGTATTAGAAGGAAAGTGGTTTTCCTTAAACAGAATAATTTACTGCTCTAGTATGTCATTTTCATGCTTTGAATTATCAAAAATATTATATCTTCAGATAATAAGTAGTAACAGAAACGGTCCATTCAACTAAATGACCACCTAATAACATTAAAAATTAGTACCTTGTCAACTTGTTATTTCAAGCTCAGCGTTTTTAATTCTTCGTATCTAAAGTCATATAAATGTCAGAAATCAGTCAATCTTGTCATCAATTAAATGTAATATCAATTTATAAGCAATGTGTCGATTCTTTCTCCCAGTTATTGACAGGTATTCTCATCAAAATTTATCAAACAGAAGTAGGGCACTTTCATTCAGCATTGTTTTAATCGTTTTTTTTAATTTAGACTGTATGGTTTATCAGTGTGGCGCATATATATTTGGTGCCCCCCTGTACCAAATATTTGTGTGTTCAAATAAATAAATAAGTATGGTTTATCTTACGGTTTATAGTTTTTTTTTATTTTGTAATGAAGAGTGATTAGTTTGAATATTTATTTTAAGAAAGTATACATTTCTTATACGAAACAATTAATCACTATACAAATGGGTAACAATATTAAATAAATTCTTCCCAATTACATTTATATAAAATCATTTTGTTAATAAAAATTTTTTTTGGGGGGGAGGGGGTTAGAGTTTATTAAAATGTAAGAAATATAGCTTGAATAATACACCATCTTGAAATTTGGTTTGTGTATTATATATTCTCTGAAGTGTTTTCTATCTGATCAATATCCATATTTTTATTGCTTAATCCATATAAAAATCTAAAAAATATTCACAGAAAAATAAGACACATTTTTCAGGATATTCATCGACTTTATTGAAACTCGAAATTAATTGTTTAAAACTTTTGATGAAAACATATTTTTAGTCTAATTTTTTTAAAAGTGTGACAAATAGTTGGAATAAAGAAACTAAATACTGCGTTAGTATTTTGCTTCTATATAGGTATCATGCATTAGAAAACTTAAGGGAGCAATTTTTAACGGGACAATAAGTTCCCTTAATTTACTAATTCATTGAACACTAAAGTAAACCACTTTTGGTTTTATTCAGTTACCTATAAATTTAAAATTTGGTGTAAAAAGTATATCAATGTTGATAAGATTACAATATAACATTGATTCACGGTCATTGTAAACCCTTTATTTAGAAAAATAATCATTCTGTATAGTTAATAATCGTACACCTAGGTGTCAAAACGATATTTGACAAGATATTCATATGAAATTACAATGATTATAAGATTGATTGCTTACTTAATTATACAAAATTTTAGAAAACACCTTTTACAGTAAAACATAAAGATAACTTGTTTAATTTGTGATTACAAGAATAATACAATTAACCTTAATACATTATATTCAGGGATGGAGTAAAGCTTACGGAATCATATGATGAATCTTGTAGTCGATATAAGATAATGAACTTCGAGTGGAATGTTTACTTTAACTTTGAAAATAATAAATGTTGACTGTTCTGTTAGCATCAAAGTGAACAACAAAGAGGGAAGATTACTTCATTTAATCAAAATCAATTAAATGATCATAAATTAAATAAATTTATTGTGTATGCCATGTTGTGTTTCTCGTAAAGCTATTAAAATATTTTGTAACTCAGCCGTTAACATTATGTTATCAACCTTAAAGCAAAACCACTCACCATCTAAGTATATTTATTATGTATTCCTTGATTAGTCATGTCGTTTTCAAGAGTTTAATAAGATATTGGGGTAAATATAAGAAATGAAGTAAAAATCATTAACCAAATGGTCGAAGCTAATTTAATTTGAAACTGATTTAAGATTTCTAGCATGACCATAGTTCGAAATCTTTGATTTGTGAACAGAAACACGTTTAGTATTTACAGCATTAAGAACTCTAACAAGGGAAATTATTAGTTTAACTTGTTTAATTATTAATTAATTAAGGGATCACATTAGGCTTATATTACTTCTCTTCATATTGTTTGGATTTAAAGTAGTAACTTACATTAACTGAAATTAACAATAACCTATGCTTCTATTCTCTAAATGAATAGCCTACTGGTTTTACACTCGGCTTGTTAGTGAACTTATTTAATGTCAAACAATCAGCTCTGTATTTTTACCAAACCTTAATGAAACATTTTTCACTGTTCTTTTTGTTGTCTGAAAAAAAGTAGGAACCTTATTTTGTTTGAAATTACTTTGTCCGTTCTCTTTTGTTCATGAAAATCAAACGATTGTAAGGTATTTCACAGTGATAACATCAATTCGTTAGTTAAAAAAAGTAGACTGTAATGTCAAACTTCACTGCTGACATCGATTGTCTTTTCAGAAAAATATTATGCTTTTGTTACATTTACATATTGATTCTTTGACAAGAAGATGAAAATTTGTAAATAGTTACCTTTAGTTAGTTTATGAACAGTACAATCAATGTTCACCAACTAACTGGAAATATATATTTTAATTGCATTAACTCTATACGTATCTATTTGCTTATTAATGTACTTTGAAATACATCAGATATATCTTACTGGACAGTACACAATTTTCTACTTGATTTCTTCTTAGGCTTACAAACTATAAACTTGTGAAAGTTCGTTTATATTTGGAAAAATTAAAAGAAATAATGGTCACAATGCTGATAAATATACTTACTTTGTTAGACATTAATCATGATTCAGTCTCATTACATCTAAGTTCATATAAATAAAATGATTTCTGAAATAACTTATTTATCATGTATACATCTATGCATACGGCTTTGATCAACAAATTACACGTGAAACCTAATGTTAGGGATTGATTAACAGAGTCGTTTTCGAAATAAATGAGTTGAACTCAAAACATTGACTTCGGTAAATTAGATGCCCATTTGGATAAATAAATAACAGCCAATATAATTTACCGTACTTTTTTTAGAAAAAGTGTCATATAACATTTATCTAATGCTTGTTACATTTTTCAGTAAAGTGCTTGTATGTTTATTGTTTGTTTTACATTTAACTTCAGTGGACGGTTTTTTAAAGTTCACACGTTAAACGAGAAGTTTGTCTGTAGTAATGTAATAGGTTGATTTTTAGTATCCATATTTATAAGGACTACAGTATATTCTACTACGCTCCTACGTAATTCTTTTAGTATTGATTTCAGTAATTTTACTGTTGGATACTATGAATGGATAAACTTCACAAATATTGCATTGAGAGAAATATTTGTCTATCGAGTCGTTGACTGTCGATGAGGATCAAGCACTCTATATTGTATTAGTGTTTTAAATATGGAAATTATTTTTAGTTTATTATATATCAATTCAAAAGATAACTAAATCTCAAATCGCATTTAATCACTAAGTAAATCGTTAATTTTATTTGACGTCTCTCTTGTTTACAATAATGAACATGGTAATTTATTATATCTTTTAAAACCTAAAACTTCAATCCTGTTCAGGATTTTATCAGTCCTCTTTTTGTTTATCAGTCAGTGTGATGCAATGAGATGATCATTGATTTTATTTCCAAAACAAAGTTCATCCAGATGGATCAAACATTATGAAAATAATATGGAGTATTTGACTTAATCGACAATTTCACAGTTTGTACAACGATTTCACCTACCAAATAAATAAATAAGGTGAATAATTACTAACAAATATCAGTAAGTAGTTATGTTTAATTTGTGAAATTTGCTTTATGTTATATTCAATGTTAAGCAGATTGAACCCACAATTCTTAGATAATTTTAATACATTTGAAGTGTGCCCTGATAACATTTACCTTTGTGAAGTATTGTCTCTGAAATTCTTTTATAATGTATTAGAAATGCTGAAGAAAAAAAATTTTTTTTAAATAAATAAATCATTAATTGGTTTTCATTGAATTAAATCTATGTAAATAACATACCCAGTTGTTATCAGTGCAATAATTATCAAACTGGAACAGACCAAAAATACTGCACCAGGGAATAGATGAGTTGTTGAAGAATAGATTAAAATTAATACAGAAAAACAAATAAGTACGCCCAATCGTGATACAAACGCCACAAATGAATGCATCATACCTGTTAAAATGGAAAAAACACAGAGGTAATTGAACAATGGAACATCATAATTATTTGAGTTACGTAAGGTTATTATGAAAAATTAATGAAATATACGATTTCCAAATGAAAAACGAACACATGGGGAACTGTAAGAAAATACACAAACCATATAAGCTTTTCTACATTAGATATTTGCCTCTCATATACCTTATTAGAATTATAGTTAAACAAATTGAATTTATTTAAAATAAATTCGGTACATTTCATGGAACTTATTTAGATTATCAGTTTTTAAGTCTCTCGATATAAAGTATTTTATTATCCCATAATACTAAACAGAAATGACAAAACTGTAAAAACTAAAATACCACATTGTTCTAAAGTTTATTTTACGTTTGTACACATGAAACATAATGCTAGATATGAAACTTCCTATGTTTTTGTGTATTTGTTAACGTAAACGATAACTAATGTATTTAACTATCTGTATAATCAATTAATCATTTGTATATTAAGAATATTTTTTTAATAGCCTTCACTTGGTAAACTTTACATTATACAGACTACATTGAAGTAAGCGTTTTTAATTAACTAACTTTGTCTAATTCAGAGTTTTCAACAAAGTACCAAACCCTCAGAATTTTTATAAACTAAAATAACGTATATATATATATATATATATATATATATATATATAAAGAAACTGGATTAGATCAAATGTTTCTCTGATGTGAATAGTTTTAACTTATCTATGAAAGTTCAGATCTAAACCATTTCTTAGATTAGATCAGGCTAAAAACGTTCACAGATTCAGATGCGTGTATTAGTGAATTCTTTTTTCCTAAAAAACTAAATGTTAACAGTATTGTTGAACCAATGCTATTCAGTATAATAAACTTCATTTAAGGCAATAATTTACATCAATTACATCAAATTATTGTATAATATTTCTATCATCAACCACTTACCCTGCTTTGATTGGTCAGTCCACATGGATACAAGAGTTCTTAGTATTGGATTATTCAACCCTTTAGCAAATCTAGGTATAGTAGCTCAATAAAACAAAGTAAAAAAGAATTAAAGCGGATGTAAGGAATTTTTATATAGACAGAAATAGTAGAAATATTATTTAGCTTCATCTTTTGCATTTCACTTTGTATCAGAAGAAAACATAAGAATATTGAGTAAAAGTATAATATACTGATAGCCTTGAGTTATATAATCAGAATTAAGAAAAACATCCCAGATATATAATGTGAAGTTTGAAGTAGAGTGAGAGATTACTTGTATATTATCACTGAAAAAGTGAAAATATGCAATGATTTATTTTTAAAATGCTTGAAATCAATAAACAATGTCTATTATGCAGCTAGAAGTGAATCCGATATGGTACTTAAGCTAAATTACAAAAAAATACCTGCTCCTAAGCCAGATTATGTATTAAAATACTTGATGATACACAATGATCAGTTGAGTGTTTAGTATAGCTTTAAAATATTCACCCTTTCTAACTTTTCCTCTAAATTTCAACCTTAAGTTTCTTCAGTTTGTAAATAGAAGAGTGTCGAATCAGTTGATTATAACTGGTGTTATTTGATAATGAAAAACATAAGCCTAATTTGTAAACGTAATTCAAACCTACAGATTGAATCTCACTTCTTATCCCTAATCTTTTTCATGATTGCTAATGTTAGTTAGTGGTGAAAACTATATGTGGGTATAAACATTTAGGGCACTAACTCATAGCCCTCCCTCGACGTTTTATATAGGAACTTAACAGTTTAATAGGAAGTTATTTACAATGAATATGATGAACAAACTTTATCACGAAGTCAGGAGATTATATTAGTGAAACATAAAGTGAAATTTTAGGTATCTTAGACACTACACATATACATTAATCTTATAATTTCCAATAGCAGACAATATTTACTTGTATTTCAGACATATACACCTCTAGTGTCACATCAAAATGAAAATAATAAAATGAATTAAGTAAAATAAAATAAATTATACAAATTCAGTTTAATAAATAAGAAATAATTACCGATATAAACTAAAGTATTAGCTGTAAATGTAGTAAACAGATGTGATATACCAAGTATAGTTCGATTCATAAACATCATGAAAATACTGAAAATTAATGTTTTTAAAAGTAAATTGACAGATTGACATTTAGCTTTATTAAATTGTTTATAATTATCATTTGTATCAGATATATTCTGAGAGACTGAATGACTTGATTTTGATATTGATCTATGTATGATTCGAGCCATTAAAAGTGTGAAAATAAGTGCGAAGATTGCAGAAACTACATCAGTTACACCACTGAAAATAATAGTATTACATTTGAATGAAAATATACTTGTTAAACAATTAAGTATAATTAAGTAGTATGATACATAATGGGATTATGATTTACTAACATAATTAAGAAAATTTATACAACTATATTGCATACTCTGTAATGAGTTACAATTGCATTTTTACATTGATACTTAGTAAAGTATTTTTGTAATGAATTTATTTCACCTTCTGATAAATTAACTTATATACGATTTCACAATGAAATAAAACACTATACTGATTGAGTAATTGTTGAAAACTGAAACGAATATTTCCACAACTATCGTGTAATCATGAGCCACTATAATATTATCCATCTACTTGACTTCCTAGTGTATTTAATGCTATTATGAGTAAAATACATATTATGCAGAGATATTAGTTCTAGTTCCCTGTACCGAAAAACAAGGAACAATATGTATTTAGATTGCCTGTACATAAAAATGTTTGTCAGAATAAAAAAAAACATTCATTATTAACTTTCTAGCCAATACTCAATTTATTTGAAACTATCAAGTCCAACCCTGGATGGATTGTATTCTGACTAACCTGAATTAAAAGTACTGGAAAAATGCCTAAAAATATGTGGCTCACAACATATCATTGTCAATGATTAATAGAGATAGTCATAAATCGCATGTTGAAAATAGTGAATCAATTTGAGTTTTATTTTTTTAAAAATTTACAATTTGATTGCATATAATAACTTACATTCTCAAAACCGTAGTTTCTCGATTATGAAAACAGTATTCCTATTCATGTTTTGCATCATCAGTAACAGATTTTTATAATAAAACATATGATATGTTTATTTCTGCAAGCACTTTTTGCATACTATCGAAAGTATTAGTGATCAAGAATCATAAAAACTTTCCACTTAAGCTCTCTGCTAATACAAAGATATACAGACATACTGGAGAATTTCGTGTAATTCTATGAGAAACGTCCGAATCTACAACCAGTCATATGAACAATCATATTATATTTACGGAGTAATAAAGTTAAATTAACAGTATATTGTGGTATGTGCTACTGATGTCTATATATATAAGTAGTATGTATCATCAATCAAAAGTGAAATACCTGGAGGCGGATGGGTAGGAAGATCAAAGAAATAAAAACGAAGACAAAGAATAATTGGTATGAAAACAAAAAATAATAAAGTTCGAGAAGATTGATTAATAATTTGCAGAAGGAACAGTCAAGACTGAGATAAATGAATAATATTTTGCAAAAAAAGAATTTACTGTATTGTTCTCAGATTTTAATAGGATACTCTGTAATTTTTCATTCAAAAACATTCGGTTGTCACCGCTTGCGTTCTCGTTCACCATAATGTAATTGTAATCAAAATTATTATCTTCTGACATAGACTATCAATTGATTCCTAACTATAAATAACAAAATCTTTCAAAAGCATATTTCTTGGAGTTTGAATACATAATAATTTCCTTCTTGAACATCAATAATGAGGTATAAACTGTCGAAAATGAACTATCTTCAAGTACAAATGTACACAGTGAACAGAATTTTGTAACAAAATAAAATCTCAAACTTGGGTTAATTTACATTATAATTTAAGCGATAACTTTTATGTTAAATTTATTTATGGTAATTTGTGTATATAACCATCAAGTGTTCTTTGGATATCAGTCAATTATCGCTATGTTTGAAGCGATTGCGTGTTCACCTAGTCTGAGAACGGAACAAACACTCCGTAACCAAAGATCAATGATATAGCTATTCTGACGTGTCCCGGCCCCGCTGACTAGCGAGAGAAGTTCAAGTTCTAAATGAGGAAATAGATTCCGCAAGCAGCTAGAAGCACGAAAAATCACAACAGACACAAATCAAACGTATATATACAGCATAAAATTTTAAGATTCGATGGTGGTTGGAGGTAGTCGACAGGAAACCCTGGACCCGGGTTTCGTGCTACTTGGCACTCGTCAGCAAGGTGTACCTGTAATCTTCGAGGGAACTGGTGCTCCCTGGCGGATTCGATCCCGTATCACCCAGCTTCACAGTCAGAGACGTCACCACTGAGCTATCCGGGCCGCGACCGACCTCCTGTAGGACTGAGATGTAATCACAATTGATTGATCACTGGGTGACCAATGTCATGCGTGTCTAGTCCTTATTATTAGTGCAGATCGAATGCTATCGACTACCTCCAACCACCGTCAAATCTTACAATAGTGCCCGCGGTGTCGAGTCACCTAGACTAGTGGCCAAATTGCAACATGATCGATAGCACTTGATCTGCACTAATAATAAGGACTAGACACGCATGACATTGGTCACCCAGTGATCAATCAATTGTGAGTATAAAATTGTCCTTGGGATGCGTTACAAAATACCATACTAAAAGATACAACGAACCAATAACGTCTAAGATCCTTCTAAGTGGGAAATATGACATGAAGGTGAAAATGAGAGCTTTTGGGGCGAAAAAAAATTCAAACCCTTTGAAAATTACAAAAATAAGGTATTTGCTAAGTGAGTTCTGGGGATCTAACATCCACAACAATTAATATTAAAAATATATAATACAAATTTCATGATCAAATGTCTATATGTTATAAACCATTGAAGTGTTATTCTGATTGAAGTTTTGTAGCATTTACTATTTAAACATAATAAAAACCCCTCTACTTAAAACGTAACCTCAAATATTTTACTGTCATAAAATGTTCATGATACTGTATCTAATAAATCGTTCATTTCACTAAAAAAACAACTTCAGACGTGAACTTACGAGTAAATCCCAACATCCTGTGAATTCCATAAAAATGGATATCCCATTAGATATATGTATATAATATACAAATCAGTTGATGTAACAGTAGATAACAAAAATACAATAAATCCAGTTAAGATGTGTTGTTTATATTTTCCACTTAGGATCTAAAGTGTTTATTATTGGATATGAAATAACAAAAAGAAAAAAAATGTTTTTTTACTGTATGTGATATGTCATAATACAATAGTCTAATGAAGTTTGTTATAAACAATCATTATATGGAATCGTGAATTCTTTTAACAGACTTTATCCTAATAAAATCTAAACTCTTTTCAGATTATCATTTTTATAGACAAAACCCCATAGATTAAGTTAGCTTGACTAATCACAATGTAGAATAAATTAAGACTTATCATAAATAGTTTTATTTAATTAAGAACAAAAAGATAGAAAACATAAAAGATCATCAGGCAAATGAACCCATTGGATCCCGTATTGAATCAATTATTTATCCATGCTGATCATTTCTTTATCCTGAGGAGTTGAAAAAAAAAACGGTGAAACTATAAATTCAAGACCTGTTATCTTATACCTGATTGGTTCGTCTATAAATTCCAGTCTCGCCAAGAAAGCATATCGTTTGACGATCATCCTTCTCCACTGAGAATATATTAAGCATGACAAAATATTTTGTCCACGAGTTAAAAGTTATTTTATTTCCATGACAATATAGTTGTAAATATTAGAGTGTATTATATATTTGTGCTTTTATAAGTTCACTGTAATTACATACAAAATTGATAATGTTATTTGGTAACCAATAAATGCAAATAAACCTAGGCTTTTAAATGTACAAAATTATTTTATTCCCTTCAAATTAGATCAAAAATTTATCGTATTTTTTTTCTTTAAGATAAATAATGTAAATATGCATTGATAGATGGAGGTTGAGTAGTTTTCGTATCCAGAATTCGAAGATAGTGTAATGGAATCATTTTTCTAAGTATTAAATATTTCAAGTTGTCTAATGATTTAATAAAAATTGTATTTTAAAAACTAAGCAAATATGGATAGTGGCTAGCAGTGGAGTAGAGGATGCGCATTCCGTCTTATTTGGGACTCGTCAGGTGGATGTACCTGCATCATAGAGTTGATGTTCGATCCGGGCCTGCAACCCAGTATCGTTCGCTTCAAACACCCTCACGTTATCCACTTAGCTACTGAGTCCTGATAGCTACTTGCTTATGCATTGGGGTGAAGTTCAAATTCACTTGGTGTTGTTTCCTTGAATCTAAGTAGATACGCACAGCATGCATATATGCCAATAAGAGACTGATCAACTGCAGTCTGAAATATCAATTGGAATATTCAAGTAAACAATACCAAGTGTATTTTCAAACTATTATAGATGTAAACTAAATGGTATATTATTGATAATTTCTCTGATAACTAGGAATGCTGTTCACAGTTAGTCAAATTTAACTTTATATTTATGAGATCTTAATGTAATATTATTAAGATATGATAAATAGACAGGTTTATTAACATCAACTCTAATAGAAGTTTATACAGCCGGTTAAAATCACAATAACAAGAAGTGTCCGACTGTCTTTTATTTGCATTAGTTTATAACTCAAATAGTGAATTTATGGTTGAAATTAATTGGTGAATTAACATTTTTGTTATGAAGGGTTTAAAATATTATCAACTTAGTTTTCTTATAACTTGTTGAATAATTGCATAAAATCACTTCCATTTGACGTTAAATTATATATATATATATATCTTCATCAAATTATATTTACAAACGTTTCTTTACTGAATTCGATATTATCAATAAATTTGTTTGCATCATGTAAAGAAAGTGTAAGATTCATAAATGTACACAAGTGACTTTAATTTTATGAATGAAGTTGGTATAATAGTAGTTAAAAACATAAAGTTCAGCGAAGGGATCTCTTTTCAACGAATTTATTATCATGCTGTACAATCGTATACATATATAATGAATTTTTTTGTTAAAGTACTAGTTCCGTGAGGAAATGTGTACACGAATAACCAAGATGACGTAATAGAAAGATTATAACACTAGATTACGCATACGAATACTAATAATAGACGTAATAAGTTGGTAACGAATTATAACGTGAATATAGTGAGATGATTAAAATATTATAATTCATTACTAAGTTATTAAGTCTGTTGTTATTATTCGTATTACGTAATCTGGTATTATAATCTTTCTATTACGTCGTCTTGGTTATTCGTGTTCACATTTCTTCACGGAACTAGTACTTTGACATAAATAATTTCATATTTATAGGATTGTATGAATTTCTTAAAATTCGTTCGAAAGAGATCCCTTCTCTAAATTATGTTTTCAATGTTTAAATGGGAATTATCTGCCAGTAATAGTGATCGGTTGAAATTCTCTTATATACCATTACGGATCATAGATTGCCATAGTCTGGAAATATAATAAACATCATAGAGCACTAAAAAGCTTATGCAGTCTTGGTCGGGACTACCAAATTATTCCTACTTAAAAGGATAAAATTAAGGCCTCAGAATCTTAAAGTGAGAGCGGTACTTGTGGGCTTACGAGTTAGGATCTAGTGGTTTATACTACTTACATCAGTTAACTATGGATATTATACAATCAACCTACGGATCATATATTAGATGTAATGGCAAAAATTATGCCGCATCGCACGTTGACACACACGTTCAGTCTTTCTAACAGGAGCTACTTCGAACAAAGATGAATATACCATTCGGAAAGTTATGCATACAAAGTGTATTATATAAGAATTAGAGGTAAATTTTAATAACCATAATAGTATTTTGTGCGGTGACAGCAGTCTGTTTATGTGAGCAACAAAATCAAAAATATAACGAGCTCAAAAGGATTCGTAAAACTTCGAATATTTATTTGTACTATGTAATTAATGTATTCCGGCTAGCATTTTTAAACAAAGTTGTTTTCTACGGGATGGGGTTGCTTACTCCATGCTTAACCCTCCACCTTAACTCGATCTTCGGACCGGCAGTGACCCTAGAAGAGCTACAGACGCAAAGGCAAGGATTGGCAAAGTCAGGGCCGCGTTCTTACAGATAAAAAACATGTGGAACCAAAAACAACTGTATGTCAACCAGTATCAAAGTCAGAATCTTCAATACGAACGTGTATGACAGTTCTGCTATAAGGAGCTGAAACTCCGTGAACTACCACAACCATAAAAAAGATACAAGTCTTTATGTATAATTATCTACTCAAGATACTTAATGTCCGTCGGCCAGATAGCACTAGCAACAGCCTGCTGTGGGAGAGAACAAACCAGATTCCAAGAAGTGGATATGACACGCATTGAGGAAATCATCAAACAGCATCACCAAGCGATCTCTGGTTTGTAGTCGTGAAGAGAAACGAGAAAGTGGAAGATCAAAGAACACATTGAGCTGTGGATTGGAATCAGATATAAAAATGATGAAATAATAACTGAAAGATCTGGAAACGATTGCTTAGGACTGAGTTGAATGGGGAATGCTGGTGGATTACCTATGTTCCTGCGCCAGGTGTAACAACCGTAAGTAAGTAATTAAGTAAGTAATCAATCTATCATTCCATTTTTCTCAAACACTACAATTTTAATATTGTTCTGATTTTCCTAAACACCATGAATCACTGATTAGTAGATTAATACATTATCTTCGTAATTGCAAAACTTTAAAACGAGTGAAATAAACGATGATAAAGTTATTCATGGGAATACTTATTAACCTACCTTGAAACTGTTCTGAATATTTTGACAATTCATTTCCCAAAATGATAAATTCCTGCTGCGTACAAATATAATCTCTATATTACTACTCATGTTTTTACAGTCTTGATCATTATTTAAAGTGTCTATATTTAAACATTTCGGACGAAATACAATGTTCGATTCAGGAAGAAAAAATATTATCAACAAACTAATCCCAACCAAAATGTTACAGATGATAACTGGTAGTTGAAAACCGCCTCGATAAAGTAGGGTACCTAAAAGAATTAAATATTCTATTGTTGATTCGATTTGAAATGTTTTATTTTTTAAGATATTTAGGAAAAAAATACTGGATCAATAACAATATACTGCTAAATTTGTTTAAATTTATTCAAATTCACATTTACGTTTGAAGAGTAACTAAGTCTTTATGTATTCAAGTAACTGAGCATTATGTAAATAATAAGCTGAGTATCAAGGTGAAAACTATAGTTAAGATCAGTCTTAAGCATACTTTAGTATTTGTTCCACCCTAAGATATTCTTTGGATCAAAGTATATTATATTCATGCTGATCAAGCACACAGAAAAATCTCAAGATATTGTTCTTGTAGAGATACAATATTTCATTTCCATTTAGAGCAGATTAAAATCCAATAGATCTACAGTCAGTAACATATCAATACACTTGTAATCTGAATATGTATTTTTTTCTTTCACGTTAACTCACTAATGATTATTTTAATAACCGTCTTAATAATACTTACATAAACAAATTATTCATTGGATATCGTGGTGTGTGCTACTGATGTTGATGGGTAAAAGTAGTATGTATTATCAATCAACAGTAAAATACCTGGAGGCAGAAGGTTAAGAAGATCGAAAAGCGGAGTACGAGAACAGAAACTGATTGATGTAGAAAAGAAGAATCAGTCAAGTCTGACATTTCGCAAATAAAATATTTACTACATCGTTTTCAGATTTTAATAAAAGGTTATGTAATTTTGTGTCCCTACTTGTGTTCTCGTTTATTACACTGTCATCATATTATCTTAAAACAAAATCTCCTTAAAATTACATTAAATATCAAAAAGACATTTTCAGTTCATGTGAATATGATTTTGCATAACACTCGTAAAAAGAAATTGTATAACTAAATAGTTTCTAAAATTCTATTTTCATATTTTCTATACCAACGTTGTGAATACAACTGATTTGCTCACCTCCTATAGGATTTGAAAGTGATAAACTAATTAAAGCAAGTCCATCAAACCAAGTGAATAAAGTCCATAAATTATTTTGATTAGTTACTTGACTATCTATTGATTCTTTACTCACTAAATCCGTTAATGATGCTGAAACTTGTGCTTGGATCGATAATAAACCACCTCCTATAACCCCGTCAAATAAACCAGGGATAATTGTTAACCATGGATTAGCTTGGAGTAGAACAACCACACCTATTAATGGATAATATATATATAAATTAATAAGATGATAAAAATACACTTTTATGTAAAATCATTTTTTCGTAGACAAGTAGTATATATAGATATGTAGTAGAAGTTTAATGATACTTAGGTATTTTTATGGATTTTGTGTGACACGACTTAACGTTATTAAATATGTGATATTTATTTATCAGAAATGATATTTTAGTAAGCTAATAAATAAAAACCAAATAGCTAATAATACAGTTTATCTTTTAGAAATGTTAGTAATCCATATTATTTCATAATTTACACTAAGCATATATCTGTTTTCGACAATCTATGGTAACTGTGAGACAGCAAACATCTGATTTATTTTAGTATGAAACTCTTAATTAGTACGACACAACCACATGGAAACAGACCCAAGACCTTTGGTTTTACACGCAAGACCAGCGAGGTGCGACCCGATGGTTTCTTTACTTAACTTTAATAAACTTTTAATGTCCTATCACCAACTTCCGTTATACTTTATAATTGACTGAATCACACCCGATATAATCAAACTCCGCAACTCATTGCTTTCACTAGAACTCAGTTTTATTTGTTTGAATGAAATCCAGAGCGCTTTTTGGAAACGAATTGTCAAATAAAGAATATTTCATTTTTTCAATAGAAATTGTTTGTGAAAAAACCGTAAAAGTGACTAGCGAGAAAACATTTAGATGACAGTTTACTTCTGGAACTCAATTTTAGAAGGTCATACATTCAAAACATCAAAATAATGTTACGTAATATTTTGACAGACAAAAGCCAAAGCCAGTGAGCTTGTGTTCATTTTTCTCAATGGAAAGTTTATTGTTTAATCAAGCAGTTTGGTTACATCTTACACAAGGTTACGGAATGCTTTGGTAAAAACACCTACTCAGTGTGATTATTTGTAATGCTTCTCCGATGATCATTATACCTAATGACAAACGACGGCCAAAATGGTCAGATATGTAACCAATTATCATTGTGGTCAATAAACCAAATAATAATCTCACTGAATGATTGCATGCACCAATCCAAGCAGCTCTACGTTGCCCTTCCTTAAGTAAAAGTTTATCTGATTCATTGCTGAAAGAGAAAAACAGTGAGTAAATCAAAGTTTATTACTATATTGACTATCACTCCAACATTTACTAAAATAATAGCAAAAACGTTTCAACCACAAAGAAAGACATGGGTGTACTAATTAGTAATATAAATAAGATATAAAAAATTATTACCGTGAATATTTGTATCCTCAGTTAGATATTTGAATCAGTTTGCCATGTGCATCAAAACAGCATATATAGAAAAGACTAGTAAATCAGATATTTTACATAGATATACATATATGTCATAAATGTGATCCCGTAAATCACTGAGCTGAAATTGTATAATTAAATTATTTCTAGTTGAAAGTTATGGTGTTTTTTTCCTATCATTATATAACCGGAGATATTTATAACATGCAGGCTCAAGCATAGTCTTATTTGTTGAAAACGTCGGTAAACCTTGATTTATTCAAAGAACCCAAATAATGCAGCTCACCTTGCAATTAATTCGAATTTCCCATCCTTTATGTCATATGACAAACCTTCGTCTATCGCGCATCTAAATAATAATAGAAATAAATGCTTTATCTTTATATTTGGAACAAATTTTAATTGTGTTTCTAATTGAAAACTTTATAATATGGAATATAGTTTAGTGAGGTATCTGCCGATAAGTCCAGTTTGTATATTAGCATGTCTGTACAAATGTTTTGACGGTACTGTCGTTTACTTATTCAAGGAGAATCCAATTATTCCACTCATTTTTAAAGCTCTAAATTTATAGACCCTTTAATAAAATAGAACTTAGAAAACAAAATGAACTAACATAAGGCTTCAAGCATTCTGCTCTTTTAAACTGAAACTGACATTCTACATTGAGACTTCTGTCGATTTTCTAAAAATGAATGATTTGTTTAGTAGGTTAATGAAGTTTAAGATATCAGAAATTAGCTGATTATTGAATGAACTTGTGTAGGTTAAGTTCAATATCTAATTGAATTGCTCTTTTTTACTTCAATGATATAGACATCATTGTGAATTCAATGGATCATCAGAAGCGACAATTAACAAAATGAGTAGAAAAGAAGAGATAATAATACTACGCAAATTCAATCATGGGATAAACTGAACTAAATTATCATTTAAAATTGGAGAATAAAACGTTTGTCACAGTATTCAGAGTATAATATAGTCAAATTATTTATTCTGGTAGCCAAATTATAAAATTTAATGAGTACCGCATAATTTGTTTAATACATAAATATTCTGACAGTGTAAGGTTGGTCGGAAATATAAATATATCTATACAATAAATCAAAGATATGAAAAATTAAGGTAATTAGAAATTAATTAATAATAATAATTGATAGTAGTTAAAAGTTAAATCCAGTAGATCGTTTCTGACATCTCTTAAACAAACTAAGAACACAATCGGTTTTTCAACATCTTGTTAAACTGGTATTATGATTCATTTTATTCTTTATATCTTGGAGTAACTGATGTATTTTGACTATACGACACTTCTGTGAGATGAATATTACACCAGTAGGTAGACAGATGAAGGAAGTATATACTTTTCGATAAGTTACCATTAGGTTCTGTCACTCTAAATACAAACTAATGTTCCATAAAAAAGCCAGATATAAGGCAAACACGTAATTTAAATAATCATATACGTATTTGTGTTTTCGGTATAAGATCATTGAAATGAATGATTTAAATATGATGAATGCAATTTAGAAAACCAAATAATGTTATAAGATTACATCCAATTAATCTCTAGACGGTGTTCTAAAATGGCACATGCGCCTTCACAAATAAATTATGTATCTGACTTAAAATTGTTTTCCAGTCAGTTAATCAGTCAGTAAGCTACAACTTAGGACCAGGCAAATATGTGCATCGGTCCAAGTTGCCAGTGTAGAAATTAAAAAATAAATGATAATCGTTACATCAAATGTTTCGTCTATTATTTTATTTGATATGGAAGCGCATACATCAAATGGTATCTTCGATGAAAACGATATTTTTTATTCGTTAAGTGAACTTCGAAAATATTATTAAACAAACTAATCTCAATAGTTAAAATCATGAGTCAATTGAAGCTAGACCACCATGGAAAACCTGGAAGCACCGTACGTCCATTTCATCTTATTGTGGGACTCCTCAGCAGTGGGCCCTCACGATCACGCCTCACGTGATCCAAACTCAGAACCTAACACTCTCGCGCGCAAGCGCTTAGCCATTAGACCAGTGAGCCGGCATCCAACGGTGTTAATGTCTAACTTCAACCAATCCAATCATTAAAAAAAATCACCTAATTGACTTACCTGTAAAATACATACTGATCAGAAATAAAAAAACATAATTCCAGTGATATATACAAGGGAATAAGTAACATGGCTAATAATATTAGAAATTTATTTCTTAAATTCCAAATGCCATCACATTTCAGCATGTTGGTAGAAAAGGAATTGGGGAATGTTGTGCAATGTTGTTACTTTGTTTTTTTTTCTCGTACAAATATGTCAAGTAGTGAAAGTATTTGAATGGAATAATAAAAGGTTTTCTCACTTTCTAGTTTGTTTGTTGTCTATTAAATATTGTATGAATGTAAATAACGTAATTTGAAGCCTGGATGTTCTTAATCATAAGTAACAATGCATATATATATTTCACAAACATGATAGTTCACGTGAGTTTATTCATATGAATTCAATAATTCATGTTGTAAGAATCAATAAACCTGTATTTTTCATCAGCTAATAATAGAATAAGTAAGTTAGCGGTGAATTGAACAAAGATTAGGAATCTCAGTAGTTTTGTTAGTGTCTATATAATAAATGTGATTTTTATAACAGAAATGAACGAATTTCCAGACTACGTTTATGGTAATAAACAAAAGCGCTAATCGTTCCGGTTTTTTGTAAAAACATAAACAGATGCAATTGGATCATGTAAAGGTAAAATGTGAACTATAAGAAATCAAATGATTCACTGAAATAATTTTGGAAACCATTCATTTATTTCATGATAGATATCAGAATGAACATATATCGAGCAAATTTTATGAAATTTATTGGATATGAATCACCTTGAAAGATTCTAAAGTGTCAATCTGATGGTTTGTACCAAATAGGTGTCTTAAAATAGAATTTAGTAAAGTTTTTATTCTATTTGAAATAAATCCATATAGTTTGACTCTAGTCCTTCTTTCTATATTCTCAAAATAACGTCTTTGACAGGTACATGTATGTTTATAGACAGTTGAAGATAACATGAACGATAAATCTAATGATCATTATTTGCTTCGACGAACACGTTTTGTAGTCGACGATTAGTTTGGATCTAAAACGTCTCGACTAATGTAGTTTTTCGTCTTCAGTTGATTTACGCTTCAACATTATTGCCTTCAAATTATAGTACGGTAGTTTCTTTAGGCTCTTTTCTTCAGTTCTTCTGTATTTAACAGTAAATTTTTGTGGATACAGGTTTTTCTGTAGACACCTTTTAGAATTTCACCTCTTACTTTCATAGTTTATTGACGTCACAGATTCTTCCTATTCTATAGAATGATGTTTTAATTAGTAACTAATCTTAATTTACAAAAGCTGATAAGATTTAGATAAGCTCTAATCCATTTATATTTACGATATATTGAACGTTAAGTTATTTAGTCCTCAATATTTCGCACCAGGATTTCAAAAAAGCAGGATTTATCACTACTTTTTGTGGTAAACTGTATATGAGCCATATTGAAAATCTTTAGCATGTGTTTAGAATATTTTTGATTATTAGATACGGTAAGCGCGTTGCCAAGATACCTCGAACAGTATGCCGTTTCATCAGTTGATCCTTTGAACTTGATCTTCAAAAGATTAGCTATGAAAAAAATACTTACTAGAACAAGATCTAGGGGACTTATCGTTGCTACACCATCAGTTTGACGATTTGTGATAACTGTCAAACTGATACTGAACATCATTCATGTACATAATTGGCAGTTGTTTGTTATATAATATTGGTAGACGTGAGATTTCGGAATACAAAGAGATCTTGATTATGGATTCAATTTATAATACTTTATAAAATAAGAGTTTTACGTCAAACGAGATCATGAAATTATCATAGATGTTGATATGATTTGGTCAGTCAGTAAACTGAAATAAATCTTTTAATATATGTGCAGCTAATCATTGACGAATTGGTTATAGCTTTCCCGTTAGTCAGCATGCAGCGTAGTGAAAAGGTGCACTGATTATTGACAAAATAAATCTAATTGTAACAATTTGATTATGCATCTCCTGAAGATCAAACGGGTAACCTGAACGAGACCTTCAAAGCGTTAGTTCATCATAAGTAGTGATAGTTATGTTCATAACTGACCAATCAAGTCGTTACTTAAGCTCTCACCTCGTTAATCTGGTCTGATGTGTCTGTAAACTATCCCCTATTGCATGTGACCTACCAATTAAAAGACATTATTATCATATTATATTAGTGTGACTCAATTTTTATTCATTTCTATAAGACACGCAATATTGGTCGATATGTTTATGCGTTTCACTTGACGACTGTAATTCCTTTAATTACTGTACTGATCTAATTGTTTTACGTTTAGAGAAAGATAAAGTTTAAAGTCAAGTTGTCCTTGTTCTGGTTATAGTTTTCACATAGGCTCTCTGATCGCCAGTGTCGCGTTTACAGTTCTAATAGTATATTTGTACGACAAATTAAATCCTACAAAGTTTCAACCAGTAAATTCGATATGCCTACTGAAATGGCTGCCAATAAGTACTACTATTCCGATGAGATTCCAGAATTGTCACCCCACCATTTGGGAGTTTATGATGAAGACCAAATTAAAAAAGAAGAACCCGAAACCAATAGCATGATAGAACTAGAGTTAGCTAGGTTACGTATTACTCAGTTAGAACAAGAAGTGAAGGTACCAAGATTGGAACCAGTGAAATCTCTGTAACAATTACCAATCTTATATCTTAATTGGTAGTTTAAGATTTTTTTATATGGGTTCAAAGATTTGTCAAATTACCAAAGAAAACAGTATAACTTAAGATTTTAATCATAAAATTTATGTTTAGTCATTTTTAAAATATTCTTCTGTGCATTACCACCAAGTAAACGAAATAAATAACTTCAGCTAGGGAGGGATAGTGTAAAATAGAAATATGTTACTTAACTGAAAAAAAAATTATTAAGCTGAATGATGAGACTTGCTATTACTGAATAAAATAACTCCTGATGTTTAATTTAGTAGTCATGAATGTAGGTAGAATTTTCCTGTTAACTTTATTATTAGAATAAGAAGTAAATATTTTAATAAACTAACTTAGATTATTGAACAGAAGCAACATCTTGTAACCGCCTTGAAATAACAATCAACTTGTATTTTCTGTTATTAAATGAATGTATTGAAAAAGATTCTCTATTTTTATTTATTTTTAATTGATGTGCTATATTAATTAACTATAAATATATCTCAATCAATTTGTGAAATTTGAGAAAAAACAATTGGACTCACACTTACTAAATTATCCTTTACAGGTTATTCTAACATAAAGTATCATTGAAGTATAGTACATGTAAAATCGCTTTTGATTCATTCAAATAACATGTTATATGACACTTTCGTTTGTCTTATGTAGATACTGTTAATTACTACTTTTGTGAATGAATTTATTATCAGAATGGAGGTTTATATAGATTGTAGTAAATTTAATAGTTGAATTCTTTGTTTTAAATGGTGGTCTAGCTTAGATCGACTCATGAATTTAACTATTAAAATAAATTTATTGTTGAAGACGCAAAAATATCAGAAGGGGTTTTGTGGATATCATAGTAATTTCAATGGTTAAGATCATGAGTCAGTTGAAGCTAAACCACCATAGGAAACCTAGAAGCACTGGACAGCCGTTTCGTCTTATTGTGGGATCGTGGATGCTCACTGCTGAGGAGTTCCACAATAGGACTAAAAGGCCGTCCAGTGCTTCCAGGTTTTCTATGGTGGTCTAGTTTCAACTGAATAATGATCTCAACACAAATATATGTTTAGTCTAAAATATCAACTTGCCTCGTAGAATTTGATGAGATAATTTTCGATATGATTATTGTTGTAACTTGAATAAGCTTTATTTTTATGGTATAAACATCATTCGTCTTGATGGTTCAGACAAATAGTTATTATCTTAAATTGGTGGACTTAGAAATTAGTGTTCATTTTAAATTTGGTTTTAACTTGATGATAGAAATATTGTGGTGTATGCTACTTATGTTTGCAGATATAAGTAGTATGTAACACCAGTCGAAAATGCAATGTCTGGGGGCAGACTGTTGGGAATATTGAAATGTAGAGAATAGAGAACGAAACTAAAAATAATCAAGATAACAGCAAGAGTGAAAGAGCAATGAAGCTTGTAAGAAACAATTCAAACAATATTTTCAATTGATGTATTTTCACATATTACTAAACCACCGTGTGACTGGGCATTATCTCCACCTGAGTGTTTGTTCACTATAGTATTAGTTGGCTATTTTTAATAAATCAATGGCATTAATAACCATACATAATGCAACTTTCATGAATTTCAAATGTATTTTGGAGTATTTAAGTTCGGTAAAAATTTATTACAAATTCTCTTACTTGTAGGTAAGTGCTATTTATAAATCATCGAAAACTTGTTCACATTTACCTGTAGCAAAAAGTAGATGAGATTGATGTGATCACTACAAAAATCATCAAATAATAGATTAAAAACGGTTAGGTATAATTTTTTAATCAGCTCTTCACTGTATATTTATCAGCGACTGATAACCAAGTGAAAACTTGTGCATTCAAAAGTCGGACTGTGATTTTGGCGGTTAAAGAAAACTTTTATGCTAGAAATGTGAATGTGGTTTACTTAGTTAATTTTTTTTATCTGTTCATCGACATATCAATACCATAAAGGCTTTCGTTATTAAACCATATAAAGACGTTATTTATATACAACTGTTAATTTGTAAAAAGTGTCTTGGAAGTATAAACTGAAAAAAGGAATATTTTAAATAGCTGTTTCGTAATGTGCCATAAAACGTAACTAAGTTACTAGGATTCAACTGAGATACCAAAACAGGTAGAGTTCAATCACACCAATACTGAAGCAGTTATCCACCAGTGGCAATGAGCAACATTATGCTATATTGTAAATTGATTGAAGTGAAAAATAAGACCTACTAGAATTCCAGTTATTCCTCTAAAGACAGTGTGCTAATCACAATGTAAGAATATTCTTAATATAAATCTAGACAACACAGTGGATAAAGATAAACTGAATGTACTATACTACTCAGTTTCTTAACGATAGGTCAAATAAAAAAAATCTTTCAAGAAATTAGCTGTAATCAAATCTTATAGTTGAAGTTAAGTCTCTTAAACTTGTTTGCTTGGTAAAGGTATTG